GGGTCACTGGGTGTGTATGTGTGGGGGGGAAGTATTTGTGAATTTCCTGCATCGTGCAGGGGGTTGAACTAGATGACCCTGGGGGGTCCCTTCTAACACTATGCTTCTATGACTGAGAGAGCCAGTGTAGCTCAGTGATTCACATGATGGGCTAGGAGGACCAGGGAGATCTAGGATGCCATAAAGTGCCCTGGATGTCTGGGGATCTCCCCCCCTCTGTAACCTACCTGACAGGGTTGTTGTGAAATGCAGTGGAAGAAGGACGAACTATGTAGCCCACCCACCGAAGTCCTGGCAGGAGGGAAATAAACCTAGGTAGGGCGTGGGCATCTCTTGGTTTGTGTGGGTAAAATCAACCCTTGCAGTGACATCAGGGCCAGCTCGCTCACTAGGCAAACTAGGCGTTCGGCTAGAGCGGGCCGGCCCTTAGGGGCGCCCAACTGCACCTGCTGGGGCGCCAAACTGCACCTGCTGCCCACCGCCAAAAGCCCTGCATTTCCGCAGCCGGGGAACCTCTTTTGCTGAACCCGGTGCACGGGGGGGGTGTGTGCCAGAAGGGATCCTCACCTAGGGTGCAAAATAAGCTGGGGCCAGCCCTGAGTGACATAGGAATAATGTTCTTCTGCTATCCCAAACATTCCTTCATAAATCGCTACCCGGTGGGATTGTTCCTAAGTGTTCTCTGTTGTCATGGCAACATTTCCCTCGTACCAACTGCCCATTGGTCTTAGAGAAACCGCTGCCGTGTCAAAAGAAGGAAGCAAGACAGGGTTCCATTCCCCCCCTTTTTGCTCTCATCGTAATAAATGCAGCTGTTTCTTTAACAGGTTGTAACAACCCCGCTTCTTTGTGTGTCATTGTAGGGGCTTTCCTGGGGATTGCATGGTGATCCTGAAGTAGAGTTCCCATCTCCAGGTTGGGAGGTACCTGGAGATTTTGAAGGCGGAGCCTGAGGAGGGTGGGGATTGTGGCGAGGAGGGACTTTAGTGGGGTAGCATGCCATAGAGTCCACCTTCCAAAGTGGGCATTTTCTCAGAGTGAGCCGATCTCTGTCACTTGGAGATCAGTTGTACTCCCAGGAGATCTCCAGCCACCACCTGGAGGTTGGCAACCAAAAAGACCTGGGTTTGACACATGGAGGACTCGGACCACGCCATGCGTTCAGACGTGTTTATTGTACTTCACAACAAGACGCACAAAACGGCCCTGCAAGGCCAACTATATACACTCCATTGATTGATGTTTGTTGCTGGTCCTACAAAAGGCCCGTTAAGAAGAAGAAGAGAAGAGATTGGATTTATACCCCGCCCTTCACTTGGAGTCTCAGAGTGGCTTACAAACTCCTTTCCCTTCCCCTCCCCACAACAGACACCCTTTGAGGTGGGTGGGGTTGAGAGAACTCTGACACAAACTGCTCTTTTTCAAGGACAGCTGTGCCAGAGCTTGTGACTGACCCAAGGTCACATCAGCAGGTGCAAGTGGAGGAGTGGGGAATCAAACCCGGTTCTCCCAGACTAGAGTCCGCACACTTAACCACTACACCAAACTGGCTCTCAGCTGGCATTCATAGACGGAGCGCTCCTGTCTTTCTCAAGGCTGCTTAATGGGCCTCTTGTAGGACCAGCAACAAACATCAATCTAAACTTCAATGTAACCACAAAAGGAAACTTCCCCCTTTAGAAGACTTTTAAGCAAGGAGAAGCGGGGGTACAATTCTAGACACTCCTGTTGGGGTTGATTGTGTAAAAAGGATGTAAATTGACTGGTAGTTATTAGATTGTACAAACTGATTAGTATTGTTGATATTGCATGTAATGAATATATACCTGTTTTAGAATATTATGAATGATACACAATGCATTTTATAAGATGGAACATATAGAACACTTTAACTTATAAAAAAGGTTTTTGCAGTGTATATATTTGTTGTTTTACCCACCTGGAGGTCGGCAACCCTTCCCAATGAGGTGCACT